TTTCTCCCGCGGAGCGGCTGGTAGTTTTGAACCGCTGACCTTAAGGTTCGCAGCCCGATTCGTAACCACTACGCTACCAGAGCTCCTTTTCAGATAGTATATAAGTGCTATGTATTAGAGAGTGACAGGGTCAAGTGGTCAAGGAAGACCTACTTAGGAGGGGACATTTGAGCCAAGATCTAAATGAAGAGGAGGCAGCTATGTCTCCTCTTAAGATTCCAGGAGCTGGAATATCCCAGAGGCAAGGAATACACTCAGAATGTTTAGATGTGGCAAGTAGGGCAGCATTTGTCATTAGACAAAAGACATGGAGCAGGACAGCATTTCTCAAATGCTTTCTATGGAACACTCTTCTGTGACATCATTCCCAGTAACCCCTTCCCTCCCTCAAATTTTAATGTCAAATAATAGTTTCCTACTATAGTTCCCCTTTTGGAATGTAACAGTTATATTAAAAATTCTGAGAAATGCTTCAATAAAGTAGCATTTTTTGCTTATGCATTTCTCAAATGCTGACCCAGGATATCCTTCTTCTTTTTTTTTTAATCATTTTCCCCTTTTTTTCTTCCTTTATTTTGCCTAAAAATATACATACTAAAACATATAGCCATTCAAGAAGATTTTACATATATAGTTCAATACCAATGTTTACATTTTTCATGTTAAGTCACATTCTATCTCTGCTCCTACTGTTCCTCCACCAATAATATATATTCTCTGCCCCTGAATGCTCTAATTTGTGCTTTAGAATTACTGCTGTCATTTCAATCTCATATAAGCACTTCTTCAAATTACATAATGATCAAGACAGACATTTTTTACTAATTGAATTGAATTGTTGCTTAAAGATAGCTAGCTCCATGGGATAACTTCAGCTCAAGGTTCAAGTTATTTCCAAAAACCAGATTTGGGGGTCTATCCAGTCTCAATATATCTAGTGAATCTGGTTTCCAATAAGAAACTAAAGTTCCAATCTTCAATCTTCCTTCTTTTGATCAAGATTCATATATTGGACCATGATACCCTTTGTTCTTGCATTTATCAATAAACTTCTCATGGAGGCGGAAACGCTAGTTTGCAGGTATTGGCGTACCCTCCTGGGATACCTACCTGTAACTTTGACCAGAGAAAACTAGTGGGGGTTATGGGAAGAACCAGGTTTACTGAAGCATGATGGTACCGGACTCTAGACTACACAGTACCACCATATTTAACATTTCTTGTTTCTTTTTAGTACATTCTTGGTTGAATTTAGTGCTCTTAAAATGGAGAATAAGAATGGCTGTATTTCTGATGTCATAGCAATTTTTCAAGCTATTCCAGCATTGCACCAACTTTTTAGAAGTAGCTCTTTATAGAGCTAGAGCACAAACACTCCAAAATGGCCACCATAATGCCAACCCAAACCGTATCTCCTATCTCTTCCCTTCCTCCCGCTAAGCACATCAAAACTCTTTGTTCTCTAGGAAAGGGCAAACAGTCCCTTCTTCCCACTATGCATACTGATACTCTTTGTCTTATGCCTTAAATTATACATACACTAGGAAGGGGCAGACAGTCCGACACCTTGTGGTTTTTCTGCGTCTCCACAATTCAGTGACCCTGTATAGGGTTTCCACGGAGTGGCTGGTGAGGTGGAACTGCGGACATTGGGATTCAAACTGACCTTGCGGTCCAGAGCATCATGCTGCAGTGCCACACCAGAAGAGACAGAGGTCCCCCATCTGAAAGCTCGACGTGTCCTAGTTACCAAAATTAAAACTGACCATCCATACCTGGTTGGTATAGACCTTAAAGATTTGCCGGCCCTTGTAGCGTAGTGGTTATGAATTGGGTTGCGAACTACAAAGTCAGCAGTTCGAAACTACCAGTTGTTCCGTGGGAGAAAGATGAGGCTTTCTGCTCCTGTAAAGATTTACAGCCTTGGAAACCCTGTGCAGGGTCACTATGAGTCGGAACCGACTCCAGGGTACATAACAACCACCACCACCAAACATTAGCAACATATTACTGTGAGTTGGTGGAGGTGACCACCCAATATAGGCAGCATGGAAGAGTCCATAGCTGCCTGATTCCTCTGGCCGTGGGATACAAGGTGATGCAATAGCGCTCATTGGCCTTGAAATGTCCAAAATGGCTCTGTCACTACTCATCCTGCTCTGACACTGTCAAGGAGGAGCAAGTAATACCCCTCCTGGTGTGGATCATAGCCTGGCACAACAAAGGGGGTATTTCTGTCTCCCCAATACATACTGGGCAGCCATGGAGGAATTGAGAGTGATTAGAGAGCTGGGGATGAAGTATGCTGTATACATGGAGCATTACTGGGGTAAGGTGGAGGGTCAGAGAAAAAGAGGAAGACCCCCAATGAGATGGACTGGCCAAGTGGCAGCATCAATGGACTCAAGCGTGGCAACAGTAGTGAGGTTGGCACAAGATCGGGCAGTGTTTCGTTCTGCTGTGCATAAGGTCGCTATGGGTCGTTACCAACTCAATGGCACCCAACAACAACAATGAGCTGCTCACTGTGAGAATGAAAGATGTTGTCCTACAGTCAGAGGATGGTATAGGGTCCAGATGTCTATATTGAGTCCAATGGTAGGGGAACTGGTGACTAGGGTCTCTCAAGCTATAGCTGACATGAGTGAAACAGAGTAGCTGCTGGGATGGCAAGAAGAAAGTAGAACAAGCAAATAAAACAGGGAATAAGACAGGTCCAGTCTGGTTTAC